GTACCAACTAAACTTCATCAAATTCATACAACCATCATATTCTATTATTTCAGTACATAACCTCAAATAATAACACATTATCATACAATTTAGCACAATCATCATGTTCTATCGTGTCAACAAATATTTATAAAATATTAACACACAACATGCTGGGGTCGGACTCAGCTCAAATAGTGCAATTTCCATAATAATTTACCAGAGGTCATATTTTTGCAGTCTCAATAGAGTCTTCTGACCTAAAGTTCAATATTCTCTACCTTTTATTACTCAACTCATGTACATCTCAAATAACTTAGCCATAAAACTTCTTAATGATGTTCTAGCCCATGACATTTTGCTAAAAATTAAATTCTATTAATTTCAAATAAACCCAAAACCTTCCTTTATACTAAAAATCTACTTTTACAATATAGTTTCATAAAAATTTATAGATTATTCCTAAAATAGGTTACTCGAATTCTCATGGGTCACTACATATAGAAATAAAACTAAGGCTCGAGAATACTCCCTTTACATGGAAATGGGCCTGAGAACTAAGTTTTTCGTTGGCTCTAGGGAGAAACTCCACGTCTCAACCGGTAACACTTTGATAACCACGTCGCAATGGTATCAAACAAACTAGATTTTCTTAAAAAATTTGCAATACAAGGAGTAAACCTAGGTAATCTCACAAGGACATAAGATACATTCTGTTTCTGGTTCCATCATGTGATTTCAGATTAGCTTAAAGAAGGATTATTTTGAATTAAATTGTAAACAATAGAAAAGAAAAGAACAAGGAATAATTATAACGAAACGAAATATGAAATTCAACCAAATCAAGATCTCAATCACTACAACGCAATTCTCATTGTTACACGAATATAATTCCAACGAATTTCCAATCAACACTAATTCAATACGACATTAATAACCCAAAATCTAAATCTAGATTATGAATTTCATCAAAACAAGAACTGCAATCGCAAATCCAATGCTTTAACAAAATTTAGAACAATTGATTTATTGAATTAGGTGAATTCATTTATTTCAAATTTGAAATTCTCATTCTCTGTTTAGAATGCAAACAAAAAATCAATATCATGAAAAACGTAATTATCCTAATCAGAAAAGAGGAGGAAAAGTGCGAATTCGATAGAACCTAACCCGAAACTCAAACGCAATGTTGTTCTTGAAACCTTGAACCGATTGATGGATTAGCCTTGCTTCATGATCATGTTTGCTTCGGCCAAAACCAGAAAATATGAAAAGATGGAAGGTAGAGAGACGAAAATAAAGGAAAGAATTTAAAATAAAGACTTGTAATTCTAAAAAAAATTACGGGAAAAGAAAAACAAGGATTCGTACATAGAGTCATAACCTCTATTTAAAGATAAAATAATTAGGCTTAATTAAGGCCCAACTCCCTAATGAGTTTCCTAAACACATAACTAAGTAAAAGACATAATAATTGGGCTTAATTAAGACCCAACTCTCTAACTAAGTAAAATCAACAATACAATCAAATTCTGAAAATTTTAGTGTAGGGCTGCAACATTGTGACGCAATTTTGGACTTGAAGATGCTCGAACTAGTCTTTTCTCCCAACAGAGAAGTTGTAGATCTCTGTGTTATATTTCCAGGGACACCAATTTTGTCCAATTCCGAGTAGTGTAGCTCCAGATATGGTCTTTGCAAGAAACTGTGTCAAAATAAGAAATTATGGTGAGAATTAAGAAAGATTTATATTTAAATTCTAAATTACTTACTAACACAAATCTAAACTAACACATCAAAATAATGCACTAATGAAGCACAATTAAACCAAAAACATGGAGAGAAAGATGTACTAAAATATGACTATCACACTTCCCAAGAACTAGAGTTCTTTTTGACATCACAGAATAGATTACGATTAAAAGGGGAAAGAGCAGAGAAATAGGAACTAGATTCGAAGGCTAGACTCCAAAAATTTACTTGGATCTGAGTGGGACGAACGTTTGAGCTTAGATCTAGCAGAGATTCAAAGGTATTGGAAGCTTTCCCTGGGATGGGGAAGGGAGAGAACAGAGCGATCAGAGAAGGAGAGGTAGTTTTGGTGAAAAATGAAATTTCTAAACGCATACGATCTTAAATACCCTTTAAACCTGCGCGATCTCGCTTGAGCGAGAGGGCTCTCGCTTGAGCAAGTACATCCATGCTTGAGCGAGCTCTTCCCCGCTTAAGTGAGATAACCAAACAGTGGTTTTTCTGATATCCTCGCCTGAGCAAGAGGTATTCTCACCTTAGCGAGGAAGGTCCAAAGAGCACCCTGTTTTCCTACGACACCTCACAATTAGGTTAATTCAACAAGCGAGAATCAACCTTAAAATCCCGTACGAATTTAAGAAATTCAATGGACTCTAATCCCTTTTTCCAAGATTAAGCAACCTTAGAAATAAACCCAGAATTAAGCAATTCAAGTTTAGAATCTCATTAAAATGAATTAGGGTTAATTACGCAATGTCCCTCTCATTCAACTATTAATTCAATTAAAAAATTGGGAAAAAGAAATCCATGAAGGAAAGGGAATTGTATTAACATTCATAACCCAGGAATTCTTGAATCCAATTGAACTCACTAAGAATTGTAAAAGGTTTAGCCCTCCATAAGGATGGGTCTCACAAATACCAGATGAAAGTAAAGAGAATTCAATGACATGAATGTAAAAATCAAAGGAAAGTAAAGAGAAAAGTAAATCAAACCCTAGGTTGGGTTCTTGGCTGCCACCCAAGGCTGACCTAAGCTCTACAAATGTTCCTCAAAATGGCAAAATCTAAAAGTGTAAAAATCTCCTTACCCTAATTTTCAAAAATCTATTTATGGTGAAGTAGGTGTCGTCCATAGTAGCTACTATCATAAGTGATAGTAGCTACCGGCAACCTTCAGATCTGTCATTCCCTCTCTGTAGTTGTCAGTTTGGCAAATGATAGTGGTTATGCACAGTGCGCATAGCTACTATGGTGAGTCAAAGTAACTACGCGCAGGTCTGCGTGAGTTTGGCTCTTGCTGTAGTTGTCATTATCACTTCTAATAGTAGCTACGCGTAGGTCTAGTGCAATCTGGGTTCTCTGTAGTGTTCACTATTACTTCTGAAAGTGGTCACTTTGATTTGCCCTCTGGATCTAGCTTGTTGTAGTGTCTACTATCACTTCTGAAAGTGGTCACTTTTACCTCAGATTTTTTCAAAGGCTAAAAAATCCATAGAATAAGTCTAGAAATTCCTGCACAATTATTCAAATGATCAAATTGCAAATTATATCTATGTAAATCAATGTAAATAAACCAAAAATTAATAAAACCTATGATATTTGACATAAATGAAAATTTCACCTTATTTACACTTTCTAAGTTTGTTTTTTTATATTAAAGAATATTGAAAAGGCTAATAAAAATTTATTAAAATATGGATTCATCAGTGTTACACCTATCTCTTAGAATAGAAAATTTCACTATTGTTCAACATGCAACCGTGCACATATGTTTTTCTCTCTGGCATCTAAAGGCTCAAACTTAAGTACATTTATCCTCTTAGCAAAGGTAGTGATCAGAGGTCTAATTAGGAAGAAAGTGTGTGGCCCGTGGTGTACCCGCTCCCATTGTCGGTATCACCATCACTCCCTCTTCCCCAAGGTATTTCTACTGTTCTCATCTTCCACACCCCCAGTGTATCACTGAACCATTCACAGCACGTTACACCAGCGTTAATCACGCCCCATTCACACACATTGCAATATTCATTCTCAGTATACGGCATAAACCCCACAATCATGCATAATACACGACACTAGGCCCTCATTCATTTTACAGTACATGGCACAAAACCTATATTCGTTCATATTACACGGCCCTTAGGCCCACATATGTTCATAATAATTGTTCTCTGCCTACATGTATTTATAACATAATTCATTTCAACAATACACACAATATTTTCAACATAGTTCACATTTATATTCCTTATTCATCTAGTATTGGCATACTCACATAACAAAATCACGCATCACGGGTTTCCACATGCTATCACACCTCACAACACGCAGCAATTTTCATCAAATACATATTTCCTACCCTTTATCTCAACTACATTGCAATATTCATCACAATACACGACAATCAAACCCAAAGAGATACGGTAGAGTCCTCCTCTCCCTTACCTTAGATTGAAGACCCACACTCGAATTCAACTATGGAAGTGCTCCCCACATGGATTTTAGCCAAATACATGGAAGAATTCCATGAGAACCCAAGGAACTCATGGAAATAGAGAAAGGGGATAAAAAACGAAAACCCTAACCATTAAAACTCACCTCCAAGCGTTCCCCACACGGATTCAACCTTCAATCCTGCTCCCGAACGGCTCTAGAGGCAATTTAATCGATAGAATAGGGTTTTAGGTCGAGAGAATCGAAGAGATTTGGAAGGAAAATAGGGAAATGAAATCTCAATCCCTAAACCCCTCTGGTCACGACATTGTCGCTATAGCGACACACTCTCGCTGCAACGATGCTTCTTGTCTGTACAGCAAAAATCTCAGACGAAATTGCACCCTGGTTTCTGCAGAATCTCGCTACAGCAAAACTGCATCCAGAAATGCAGCCCAAACTGTGGCTTTGTCGCTACAGCGAGAGACCTCTTGCTACAGTGACAAGACGACAGTTTCATCCTTCTCTCCCAGTGCCCTCTCGCTGCAGCAAGAATCCTGTCGCTATAGTGAGAAAGGCACAGTTTCATGCCTCATGCCCAAGGGCCTCTCGCTACAGCGAGAATCCTCTCGCTACAGTGAGAATGTCTTGTAGTAGCATCCATACTTAGCCTATTTTCAGCCCAATCAATCCAATCCAGTTATATATATATATAGACACACACATATCCATATACATATATCAATAATAATTAATATTACAAAATTTGGAGCGTTACAACTCTCCCCTCCTTTAGGGAATTTCGTCTCCAAAATTCAATTCAACATGCACAGATTACACAAACAATTCCAAGTACAACTCTCTCATCCTACTCTCCGTTTCACATGTGGCATCTCCTTCATCACTCGAGCTCCATATTACCTTCACCAATGAGATCTCCTTTCCCTTCAGCTGTTTAACACGGTGATCCGCTATCCTTACAGGATGCACGTCATATGACAAGTCTTCTCTCACTTGGACCGAGTCAAGATCAATCACATGCGAAGGATCCGGCACATATTGCCTGAGTTATGACACATGGAACACTAGATGTAGATTCAAGAGATTCGGAGGCAACGCTATTCAGTATGCAGCAGGACCAATTCTACTCAGCACTTTGAATGGCCCAATGAACTTAAGAGATAGCTTCTGAGATTTTAGAGCTCTCCCAACTCCGGTCACAAGTGAGACCTTCAAAAACACATAGTCACCCACCTGAAACTCCAAAGGCTTCCTCCTATTATCATAATAACTCTTCTATCGATCTTGGGCAGCCTTCATCTTCTCTCTGATCATTTTGATCTGTTCGTTTTGCTTTTGAATCATATCCGGCGCACACAAAACCGTTTCCCCAGTTTCATACCAACACAACGATGTTCTACACCTCTGCCTATACAAAGCCTCAAATGGCGCCATCCCAATACTAGCATGGTAACTGTTATTATAAGTAAACTCTACCAATGGCAGGCATTCCTCCCAAGTCCCCTGCTGATCGAGCACACAAGCCCTCAGTAAGTCCTCCAGTAGGACTGAATACTTAGATCGGTCTGGCCGTCAGTCTGTGGGTGGGATCTCAGGGATCTCCAACAGCTGTAACAAGCCAGGTGGGCGCTAGTGTTCTACCTTCGCCTTCTGGCAAGTTAGGCATCTAGCCACATATTCAGTCACATCCCTCTCATTAATCTTTGACCCGCGTGTCGACCAATTAATAAACCCCTTAATCGAAATTAAAATTTACCATTGCAATTGATCTTACTATGTAAAACATAATATTGTTCCTCTCGTGAAGTTTAGATGAAATGCGCGTAGCATTGTGTTGCAAAGATAAGAATGGAATAATATTCAGCAAAAACATGGTCAAGAGTTTAAGTCAGGAAATGAGTGTGAGGCTTGTAGTGCTCTTACTCTCAGTTGTTATGCGTAATTCAAGAAAGCTCCACCACCCTCATTTTCGTAGGATTTTTCAAATTGCCCCCATCTTCCACACTTCTAGTGTACCTCTGAACTATCTACACTCGTCCTAACAATTTACCTTTCTCATTTTATTTCTCCTTTCATACTTCCCATTTTATTTCTATGTTTTTCATTCTGGCTCTATTCCTTTCATTAGTCATCATAACCTGAACTCATTATTTTCTATTAACATATTATTCATCCTTTCATCTCTCTATTTTGTTCTAGTTCATTATTATATCATACATCAATCCATCATTGTCAAAGGTTGGTCACTTCCGGACTCAGTCCACAACACACATACATATATGCTCAAAATAAAGGTCATACACATTCTCCATCACAAAAAAAACATGTTTTCATCCAAGATATATATACATAATCACGCTCACAACATTTTCATGAGCACAAACATACCATGTTCTTAGTAATGAGGTAGAGCTCTCCTTACCTCAAAAGACAAGTTCAATGAAGGAGAGAGTGAAAATGGGTGGTCCAAAGGATAAAATCATGCTACACATTATAAAGTGGAATACTCTTTGAGAAGAGATGAAATAGAAAACATAGAAATGAAAACAAGAAGTCAAGCTCTAAGATACTCACAAAGGATATGTATATGAGGATTAAAATTACTACCCACGTTGGTATGAGACTAAATATAGGTATTTTTAAAAAATGCAGGTATAAAAATGGGTATTATAATACCCTATCCATACTTTACCCATTATTAATCCACTCTTATCGCCACAACACTACGTGCATTTCATCTAAACTTCACTAGAGGAACAATATTACATTTAAATGGCTAGATATAGGTACGTGGGTTCTATTCTAATGATTAACATCATTAGAACCTGCATTTTAGTGAAGATTGTGAGTTTTACGATGTTCTAGAACATACATGTTCATTGCTCTGGGATTGAAAATGACCCTTTCTTAAGGAAGCCATTTAAATTCATTTGTACAATATAACAAAAATGAAAATGAACGAAAATGGAACCGTTTGATAAAAGCAAAACAAGTATAAAAAAAATGGAAAAATGATGTAATGAAAGTAGATCAAAGAAGGAACATAAGAAGTTATTGTAGAAACGCCTTATTATAAAACTAAAATTAGTTAATAGTCTATGCAATATACACGTTTTTTATTCTAAAATAAATATACAATAAAAGTATATGAATCATTATTTAAAATTTAAAGTCATACTCAAGGGTTAAATTTAATTTTAGAGGTAATTGTAACCTGGCAAAGATGGGACAAGGACTTTGAAAAATAAAACCGTAGTTAAATGCGATGAGATTGAGCCAGTCAACTTGCTGACCTGGCCCATTATGGATAGTGAATATTAGCGAATTGGATCAAGAGAGTTTGAGCAAAAATAATTTGAATTTAATTAGACATAAAATTGTAATGAATTAAGCTAATTTTTAAAGTGGAGTATTTAAATCTAAAGGTTTCAAAGATGATAAAAGAAGTGTAAAAATGTTAAGTTTGACATGTTAGAAGCCGTTTATTAGTATTTATGAAAAAATCATGTAAAAGAAACGATAAGGTTTAGCTGTGTCCATAGAAAGTTACTTTAGTATTTTGGTTTTTTTTTTTTTTTATAAATATAGTCTCATTTTAAGCTACACTTTTTGTTTATTGTAATTTTTTTATTAAGATTGTTTTTTATATTTCTTTATTTATTGTTATTTCTTTATGATTGTTCTTCTTTTTCTTTTTCTATTTCTCATTCAAATTAATGCCATCCACTTATCTTCATTAATTTGTTTTCTAAAATCACATTAATAAAGAATTCATTAAAAGAATCTAAAATTCAAACACAGATTATTCTGTGTATGTTTAGCATATAGAATTGAGTATGGAATTGGACGTTAGAATTGGAATTAGGCTTAAGAATTCTAATTATCATGTTTGGATGTCCATTTGGAATTGAGATAATGATTCCATGGACCAATTCTATGAAATTCTATTATAACTAAATTTGACTCACTTCAATTCCTACTGCACCCTAGGAATTTGAATTCCTAATATCATAATTCACAAATACACTCTCGCGTATCTTCTCTCCCTCATCTTCGTAGTTCTTGTTTCTTTTCCAATGCTTTCTTTCTCTTCTTTATTCCCTCTTTCCCCTATGCATCTTTCTTCTTTTACTTATGCTCTGTATTTTCATCTATTTTTAGCTTTATTCTAACATTGATTATTAATACAACTTCGTTTATATGTTCTCTCATTTTTTCTCTATTATCTTCTTTCTCGTTTTACATTGATTATTAATAAAAGTAATTTTTTTCTATTCCTCTTCCTCTTATTCTTCCTATTTTTCTTTTATGCTTTTTATTCTTTCTTTCTTCTTTTTTTACATTTGTTTCCTATTTTTCTTTTACGTCTTCTTCTTTCTTTCTTTCTCATTTTTCACATTTGTTAGACGTTTAATATATTTACGTTATTGTATCATATTACTATTACGCGCTTACTGCAAATTGTTTATGTTAATTGTATAATAAATTGTTTAATACTTTTCTTGAATTGTTAGATGTCGTAGAAAATATTAGAAATTAATTCTACAGTGTAACAAAGACATAGTCGAAGGTTTTCGCAATTATATCATAAAACGGATGAAATTGTTATAATCAATTAAGTGTTATTAAACGAGGTTTTTTTTAGCTTTGCAATATTTTACTATTATGTAAGCGTAGAAGAATTTGTTACAATGTTTTTACTTATTTTAACTCATGGTCTCAAAATAAGAGTTCTTGAAAGCACTTATTTAATTTTGAGAATTAAATTATATTTGTGAGCATTTGTATGCTTTCATTTAATTTATAAGAAAGATAGTTCATAACAAAATATTAAATTTTAATGATTAAATATAAAAAGATAAATTTACTGTGTCATAATTTTTTAAAAAAATATTAAGTTATCATCTTTACCAATTTATTTTTTAATTATTTTGTATTTTTAATTACTACAATATTTTTGAAAAAATTATTAAATAAAATTTTAATGCAAAATTAAATTATTTTTTAAAAATTTAGATCTTACATCACACTGTAGAATTTGATTTCGAACTTAAAATTTTAATTCTACATTTTAATTCCTTGAATATGTCAAACATAAAATTGTAATTCTAAATCAATTCCAATTATGATGAAATTGGAATTAAAATTATAATTCTAAATGTCAATTTTGATTTCATGCATGAAACGAACCCTTAAATTTATTTATTTATTGAAAACAAAAACCATCATACACAAGTATGTATTTCGAGAAATATTATACATTTTTCCTTTTGTACTTTGATTCCTTATAAAGATATTAAAAAGGCAAATAATGTTATTATAATTGGCAAAGTGTTGCAGTTGAGGAAGACACTATATCATATACGTACAATATGGTATATGTATTTGATTTTGATTTTCGCGGAAAGTATTATGAATTCCTTGTTTGTAAATTAGTATAAATAAGAAAACATATCCCAACTAAAATATAATTTGACAAAGTAAGGAGGAAGTCAACCTTTAGTATAAAATCAACATAACAATGTATTTAATCAAAATAAATAAAACATAACTATAATATATCATTATAACCTCCGCATCCAATTTATTTGTTACAATAACCCTAACTATTTGGAAAACGGTCAAATGGTTGAGGTGATCAAAACACTGTTGTGATATATCGCATCAGAATAAATTGAGCATGAATGCTGAGAAACTAGTTGTTGTCATACCAAGATTGCTTCTGAAGATAAGCAATTGTGTTCTTGTCTACCTGGAACGCTTTAGTAAGAACCTCTGGAGAAATAGGTGGATTAGCTTTAAATAAAGAATTTGCAACAATGATAAGCCCTGGATTTTGGCTACTGAGAGCAGCAATGGCAACAGCGTTTCCGTATCCCACATTGAGCTGGAAATGAATGAGACCAATTGGGAACACAAAAACATCACCCTTATTAAGCACTTTGGTGAAGAGACGATTATTGTTTTGATTAGAGGCGACAAATCCAACAAAAAGAGTGCCTTCAAGGACTATAAGGATCTCAGTGCCTCGAGGGTGAATATGGGGAGGGTTTAAACCCTTAGGTGCAAAATCTATGCGAGCCAAAGATACACCAAGTGTGTTTAGTCCTGGTAGTTGATCAACAAAGACCGGAGTCACTTGTGAGCCCAGTGGGTTGTTTGCATTTCCGGGATCCACATGTTTGAAGAAATCTTCAGCCTTCACAAGTTTGGGGTCTTTGCAGAATTTTCCATTCACAAACACTGCAAATTAACAAGGAACATTTTTTAAACAATACGTTCTTGTTATTACGAGAATCTTAAAATTTATGTAGGAAGACATGTTAGGAACGTTTGTACATACCACCATCGGTTTCGTTGATTGCCACACAAAAGTCTTGTAAAGGACTGGGGTCATATCCAAAGACAAGAGAGGATGCCAAAGCCAAGGTGGC